AGTTGGACGTTGGACCCAGAGTCATCGACCCCGTTCGTCAAGAGCGACCCGCTCGTCATCGAGATGGAAACGATGCTTGTCAAGGCGCCAAGTTCTTGGAGGATTGGGACCTGAGACTCCGGAAGATCAATGCATTGGATGCAAGGAAGGTAGGTAGGTAGGGAAGAGACCGGGCAGGCAAACCTTGTGATCTGTCCTGAGGGACCAACCGGGGTTCCCTCTGGTTGCTCAACTGCCCCAAACAACGAATCCTACACTATTCAGAGCAAAGGTGTGATTTAGGTGTGCGATTTGAGGTATGCTGGAGGCCAGAAAGCAAGAAACGACTGGAGCTCTGAAAAACGCTTCAAGACGAAGTGGTCCGAAGTGGTAGGGCCTAATTCGATGTGTGATCCAAAGCCCCAGGCCCTACCGTTCGTTCAACAAATCGGAGATAGGGAAAGCCATTGTATTCATTGGTGTTGCGGTGCTTCCAGCTGGTGTCCATCCCATCAGGACCTAGTCTCCAGATGAGCAAAACTACCCGTGTTATTTTGTGTTTCGTTGCAGGTCATGAACAGCATCTCAAAACGTGGAAATCAGCCTGGTCTTGACCCGGCCTTCACTTGGCCCTGATGAACGTGTCCTTCGGCAACCAATTCAAGTTTCACCGACAGACACCAAGTTTTTTCTCAGACCAATCCAAAACTCTTGGACCAGTCCTGCAGAGCCGGTCTCACGCTGAACAAATCCTGAACTGCGACAGTTCGTGCGTCTCAAAAAAAACGAATGTCTGGTGTTGGAGGGGAAAAACACCCCAAAACACCCACAGCTTTTGGAAACACACTCTCCATCTGCCACCATCACCTCGGCGTGGCGCTGTTCTCTAAGAGGCCAAGGTGTCTAGATCCTTTAACAGCGACACAGCGGTGGCGATCGTCTCCACAACCTTCAAAACGTGCACCTGGCGCCGTGCGGAACCCGTTCGAACATCACCTCCCAATTCACGTCTCCCACTGCTAGAACCACTCACTAGAACAAGCCTGGTTCCTTTCAGAGTAGCTGAGATCCGGGATAGTGTCAATCATCCTAGGTTGACACTAGTCAGAGACTCTTCAGTGTAAAAAAGCTCTGACAGATGACAGGACTCCCACCGCTTTTTGCATGGGCTCCCGCCATCCTTTCGACGCATGGCCCACAGATCTGTGCCACGTGTGGCGCCTCCAGGGCGCTGCCAGGCCGCCACATGTTGGCCTCGCAGTTCGCCAAGGGGAAGAGCTTCACCGCACCCGGAGCGATCCTGGGCGGTGAAGGACCGGATAGAAGACATGGAAGACTGAGAGATGGCAGGTGGGAGAGATGGATGATGGCGGATGAGGGATGATGCGGGGATTATCATTTCTTTGCTACTGATGTGTCTGTGCTGGTGGTTGCTTCATAGAGCTCTCCAAATATCACAATTAACAAACGAGATGTCCTGCAGATCAAGTGCAAAAATGTGCAAAATCAGAAAAGGCACTGGACATGGGCGACCCAAAAACGTGTGCCCTGCCCATCGAACAGAGTGCGCGGAGTGACCAGTTGATGCTTTTTCTTAGAAGTACTGTATACCAGGAGTCACAAGACGGGGTGGTGTTTAGTCCCATCCAGTGAGTGGATAAATGACCACCCCAAACCTCCATGGATGGCACCCCTTTGTAACTGCTGGTAAGTGTCCTTTGCTACGCCCGACATCGCCGTGCTTGAGCAAGTCATAGAGTCATAGAGTCTTCACCCATCTTGTGGGACGATGGCCCTGATAAAGTGATGCATGTCCCACAAACTCCGGCCAATCATGTCCCATGTCTCAAACAAACATGTCCAACCACCACCTGGACCTTCGCTGCCCACTCTGCCCTTGGTGTCTGAGGCGCTTGAAAATGTTCATAAAAAGCAGCCTTCCCACCGTGTTGCTGCCCAACATGGCGACTCGCGCAAAGGTCTGTTGCACCAGCTCGATATCTCTGGCGTCAATGGGACCATTCACCTCGCTCGCACGGTGGACCCGGGGGGAATTCGCCGTAGTGACAGGGCCCAGACTAGATGAGGAGGCCAAAGTGTACCAGACAAATGGAGCTTTAGACCCAAAACCGAGTGGAACTGTGGCAGAATCTGCCTGTTCTTTTGCCAATCAGGACCTGTTTTTCTTGCGTCTTCACATATGGATCACGTGGGCCCTGTATGCCCTGTACGCTTTTTGCATGGCGCTCGACTCTCCGCCCCATGGCTCAAGACTGGTCAGGTCGCGGGTTCACACGTGGACGTGACCTGCTCGTGTTGACACGACCTTTGCGGAAGAAGTGTGCTTCTTTTAAGTGTTTGTTCAGGTAGTTGGGAGTTAGGAAGACACGATCTTCGCAGCGTTGGTGGTCTTCTCTGCGTTGGTCGTCTGGACTCCCCTTGGGAAGGATGTGAACATGCCTCTTCACAACCAAACAACCCAAGACCGTGATCTATAACACATGCTTCTCGAATGCGTAAGAATTTGTGTCTTCGAATGCAAACTTTGGGCCCGCCTCCTATCATGGGGGGGCAGCCGACTCTAGTTCTGTCCAAGAGGCATCCACTGGAGGGCTTTTCAAATCCTTGGATCGTACCAAGGGTTCAACGGATGGGAGACTCCAAGGACCCGCACGGGAGGGTAAGGAAAAGAGCAAAGGCTTGTAGCAAGAAGCTAGTAACAAGGGCATCGCTACTAGGAACAAGTGCATTGCTACAAAGCAAGAAGCTACTGGTGACAGCTAAAGCACCCAGGATGCGCAAGCAGATGCGACGTCCGCTCGTCCTTTTGCAGCGCGACTGACGTTCGAAGCCGACTGCACATCCGACCGCACCATCTCTAGCAGTCAACGCACATCCGGTTGCTTGGGTCAAGCCAGGAGGCCTCTAGTTGGATAGGGATTACAAGGTGTTCTCCTTATTAGGGATTCTTGTTGGGTGTGTCTATAACCTTATAGCTTAGGGGAGATGATTCTTTTGCCAGTGGGTGCTATGTGCTTCGTTCCGTGGGATGTCGGCCCATGTCCACGTCAGTGCCGAGACTCCACACTCAAGGGCGCCGGATGGTTTACACCCACCGCTGCCATGGCAAAGAAAGAAGAAACGTGGGGTTCTTTGCAGAGAGGAGGCACATCGGTCAGAGTGTCACTCTGTGGTCTTCCCTTCACTGTGTGGTCTTCACAGCGATCACCAGAGGTTCACGACGGCTTCGCTCTGAGGAGGGTCGAACGAAGGTTTCTGGGTGGGCGAAGATCCTTACTCCGCACTTTTTGCCAAGAACGTTCAGTTTCCTGGAACTTGAGCAAGGAGCGAAGGGCGTGCGAACGGAGTGAAGGCATCGAGGAGGGTGTGCTGTTCACAGGCTGAAGCCTTTTCAATCAAGTGTGTTGATGCTGAAGCTTGAACATATCTTGTGCGTCCACACACTTGTTCGAAAAGAACACATCTTGTGTGTTGAACACATCCTAAAGATTAGCTTGATGAGTTTTAAGCTCATCTTTAAGAAGATCTGCCCTTGCAATGAGCGGCATCACAGGTCCGAACAAGGGGGCCAAAACGGCTCTGCGCTCCTTTGGATGTGGTCCATAACCGAAAGCAACTTCAACTGTACGAGGACCATCCAATGGCTAACTAGAGTCTAGGGTAGTCGGGTAGTTGGTCATCCGTTGGATACCCATTGGATGTTCCTGGTCGCAAAAAGCACCACCAGCGACTTGTTTCCCCAAAACCAGGTGCCCCGGCCCGCTGTAGCTCGCTGAGTAACTCCGGGCTCCATTCGTCTTGCCTTTGGCAAACCACTCAGCAGTGGTCGACTCGTGAAAAAGAACAAAAGCGCGCCCCCTTCACGGGGTGTCCGTCACGGTGGTCTCGCTGGTCAAAGGAGATGGAGTGGTAAGGGTGACTCGAAAGCTGAGAGTCTGGCAGAGAGCTCACGTCCATGGCCGCTGATCTTCAGCGGCGGAAGTCTCTCCACATGGTTACAAGTCGGAAAACATCCGTTTATATATTTGGTCAAGCTGGTGGCTTGAGGAGCCAGTTCGCTCAAAGACTATACACAGTGTGTCCCAAACACCTCTGTTTTCAGTGTTTTTTGTCGTCGACTGGATGGTTAAGGACACCTGCGATCTCTTGAGGTGGTCCCATCAGACTATGACACTCCGGGCGCCTCAGATCTCTTTGAGGCTGATGGGCGCCCCAGATCCATCAGCCAAGATGGACAGGCGAAAACAGGCAACGAGCCAGCCGTGTCAGCCGTTTTTCGCCGTGCTACCCGGTACCCGCATCACATGGTTTCAGTATGCTTTGCGCATCACTGTGGTTTCAGTTGGTGGCACAATCCCGCAATATCGGTGGCTTATATGGACCCCGATCTGTAAAAGACTTCTTTGGGTGCCAGTGCCATCGAGCCTCTGAAACCACTGCAATATAAAATAATATATAAAATAATGATAAAACATGATAAAACAACAGACCCTGTGTGGAGACCGACATCGTCCCTGACCATGTTCCGCTTCCATGTGACTTGGAGTTGAGGCGCCCTGCGGCCATTCCTCTCTGACTCACTTGACGCGTATTCAACACTCCCTGACTAACACGTCGCAGTGCAAGGAACCACACCGGGAATCTCCCTTTCGGCATCCAACGTGCGTTGAGGAAGTTCAGGCGATGCGGCCGAACATGTTTTGAAGATCGGGACGTGCGCGGACGAACATGACATCTGGCCAAGGACCTCCCTTGTTGTTCGACACCAATTCCTCTATAACCACGCACACAAAGACTCCCGGTCGCCTTCTTTCCCGATCGCCTTCTTTGACCCCAAACTCTGGGAGATTCCAGTGAGGGCCTCTACTGTTCCAACCAAAAAGACTGATCTTGGGAGACCCTGAGATGTCACATCATCGCCGGTGCATCTTCCACCCGCTTTTTGGTCGAACCCCTCTTCCCCAAACGAACCGCAACAAGAAAAAAGGCACGGGGCACTCCTTGGTGGTGGCCGCCGACAGAAAGTGCACCTCGCTACGCCGTCCCGGTCGCTGTCCCCGGGCGCCGTCCCGACCGTTCGGACGTGCGGGGGGGCCCTGAGCGCGGCACTCAACGACGACGAATGGGAGACGCCTGGAAGTCTGTTAGAGACGCGTTGTTATTCCAGATAATCCATCTTGAGATGATCCAAAAAAGAAGGTCCTTTGCTTTTGAGTGGTGGCCAAATAACATACAGTCTTTGGACTTCTAGGCGATATTCTAGGGCAGACTCACCCGACTGCCATCGACTTCTGAAACACCATCGAGCCAGTTTCTTTGTTCTGTGACAGGCATGATCCGTGGACATGCCAGCTCTGGGCGACCTGGAATTGTTTCGCATTCTGCGACTGCAGCAGACAGCATCCCTAAGAGTCCAAATGACTCATTTTACCCTATGGTAAGTGGTATGGTGACTTCTAGGCGGGGCAAAACGATCCATTCTTGTCCAGTTCTGGATATGCTGTGACTTTCACTTAGCCCAGAGAGTCCCTCTCTCAGTCCCCCCCCCAGCCGGGTGAGAGTCACCCAGAGAGTCACCGGGGAGCTGAATCGCCACAGCTGGTTCAAACCACCCAGTTGGTCCAAAAGACCCTCCTTCTGAGAAGTATCTATCCCACAAAAACTCACATAGACCCAGGTCCGTCCTGGTCCCATGGAAGACGATGTTCCTCTACCAACCAGGGGTTTTCAGGTTCTATGTTAGTCTTCCAGGGGTGTATCTGTCCACAAAAAAACCGTTCACTTCACATGGGGACGTCTTGGGGATGGACACCTTGGACACTTCTCCCCTATAAAACTATCCTTCACAAACAGATACTTCTCAGTATCTTCCACAAACATGGGGAGATGGACACCGAAAGGAAGACAGGTGTCCTGACAGCCTTTCGACACCCGACCTCTCGGAAGGAGTCGGCTTTCGGGCCACTCCAGCCGCCCCGAAAGCACGAACGCCCAAGCAGCCGCTGGCACCACTCCAGCCGCCACGCATAAAATCATGTGCCGGGTGAGGTCCTAGCCGCGTGAAGCAGTTGATGCAAAAACGTTCTGGTGAACGAACACCAACTGATGTCTTAATGTTCTGCCCAAAACATGGCACCAGGTGATGGGGAGGAAGTGAAAATGCCAACCCATCAATGGAATGTCCTCCGCTTTGAGATGTGTCAGTACGGCATGAACATCCATGAGTTTGTTCATCGCTGCGGCGGCTGCGGGGTCAGGTATGGCATGGTCCCCACACCATGTAACATCGGACCTCGGGTGGTCTGCTCAGCTGACCGGCATGGTGCGGTCCCCGACGCGGAACCGACCGCGGAAGGACCTGACCCAGTTGGGGGGAGACCCCAATGTAGCGACACTCTGACGAACACATCACATGGTTACGTGGATGGCATGGTCACCGGAAGACGACTTTCCTCCTACAAACACGTGGTGAACTCTACTTCCAGTGAGGTCTCAGAGTGTACAAATAAATCATGCGCGGTGTCTCACAACAGCACCACCCAGTTGCTGCGTGTTTGGATGGAGTTCCATACCTCGCTGAAGTCAGAAATCGCACCCCCATGGTGGGTGCTGGCGGGGTTCGTGGTGTTGGTGAAAAGCACTCCGTTCGCGAAGCTCGGGTCCACCAAACCCGTCCCGCCCAGTTGGGCTCGGCACGCTGCTTTCTCCGACCTTGACGATCTCCGGCTTCAGCAAGGGCCTGGCGGAAACCACCCCAAACACCACCGAGGGGTCCTTGAGCAAGGGACCGGAAGGGACGGTCCATCAGAGCCGTCCCGACCTTTTTGGGAGTGAAGAAGCACAAAGGCCTGGCCTTCAGAGCACTGGTCTTCAGCACTTTGAACGGGAATTCTCACTTGCTGACCCACTTGAGATAGAGAGTATGAAGTGTATGCCCCACAGCTGCACTCTCGACTCCGTGTCTTTCTTCCGTCGCCGCGAGCTGCGGTCCCCGCGGTGGCCGGCGATCAAGCCGCCGCCGCTTTCACCGCCGAAACCACGAAGAGCGGATCGCCACTCCGCGGCGAGAGATCCTGATTCCAACGGATCGCGCGGGGAGATCTGTGGGGCGGGTGGATCGGTGCATCCAAAAAGACCGGATGGTTTGGGCGTGGAAAACTGGATGGTTTTGGCAGGTCTTTCCACCACTGTTCTGCTTCTGTGATTGATGGATGGAGGCTTAGTAGTTGGACCCTAGCGCCACCCAAGACATTTTCACACGAGAATGATGTGAGCAAAGTTAGACTTTTCCCGAAACATTTTGAGTTGCTTATAGTGTGAGGGCAGTTGATCATATTTCTCTCACCCTGGAATCACCTGGAGTGGAGGAAAAGTGCAAGAAGCGATCAAAAGTTTAAATCTTTCCTCCAGGATAGATGCACCTTTCATCTGGAAAAACATCATAATATAAATCCAAGTCTATGAGAATGGAATACTGTCACGCAACTCTTCCACCATGAAGAAGAGTATAGTATAGATGACTTTCCCAGCATCCCCAGTGGAAAGCACTCGAACGTCATGAGTCCATCTACCCATGTCCCCCGGTTGAAAACAACTTTTTTCCTAGGTCCTCGGATGTATCGTGTGAAGGGCACGCATGTGGCCAAGTGGATGTAGACCGCTGCTCACACCCACCAGGCCCATACTCTTGAAGCACTAAGATATACCAGACCAGCACCAAACACACCAAAGGTAATTGAACTTGCAATGGGAGTTCTCAATGGGAGTTCTACTGATCGCTCCTCACTTCCACTCCATCCTTTATCCAGCACACGAAGAAAAGATCTGCAGCAGAAGCTCCACTGCCTCGGCATCCTTGAACCCTCCAGCAAAATGAAAGTAGTTTGCTGCCACCTCCGCACGGTCGTCAGGATCGCCCACGCTCCAGATGGAGACCTCAAACGTAAACCGTTCGAACGGCCGTTGCGCGGCTCAGCTGCGCTACCGTGCAGCGGCTACTGTACCAGGGTTCCGACCACTTTTTCTCCAAGTCTTTGGTCCTTTTAGGCGGGACGTGAGGGGCCAGATTGCGAGGGGTGCCAGCCATTTTGGTGTCTCGTGAACAGCTGGAGCAGTTGGCTTTGCGGGTCCACCGTGTAACATGTCCGTTGTCTTCTTGGCGTTGCCAGGCAGGTGGAGTGGAGCACTTCCCATGCGAAGTGTGCCAGCTGAACTTGTGCTGGCCTCTCCTTTGGTGTCACACGGACCGAGCGCAGAAACGCTCTTTGTGAGACAAAGTGGTTCTCTTTTCGGTTCTTCCGACGCGGTGGTGAAGGATGGTCAGGTTCTTGGGGTCGACGCTTTGGTGAATTGTCGAAGCGTTGAAACTTCGGTTGGTCGACTTCTCTGGCTTCTGCTAGCCTGTGTGCGCCAACATGGACCATCCAACATGCCGGACCGGTCACTGTCAAATGAGACACCTGGAGCATGAAAGAGCAAACGCAAAAGCTATCTTCACCTGGGAGCGCGGAGTTGATGTCAAAGGCGCTTTTAGTTCAACTTGACAAAAAGACCTCACTCGGGTGGAATAAGCTTTGATCAACAAGTCCTACCTGTTGACCCCATCTTGGCAGCCAGGGAAGTGGCGACACAGCCGACCTCCAGGACCTCCAGGGACCAACGAATGCATCAACGACAAGAAGCAATATGTTGGTGTGGGCAGTAAACCAGCCCTTTTACACACTTTTTGCACCCTCAATGACAGAAACAGGGAATTTGTCATAAGACATAATTGACATAATTATATATAGATATAGATCATCGAGGCAAATCCATGCAAATCCTCTTCGCTGCCCATAAAAGCTGGGGAGGCGCCATCCCAAGGCACGCCATCCACCAAGAAGTATGTTCTACTGAACTTTTTCAGGGACCCCAAGGTTTGCGAGCAAACGGCCCGGCGGTCCACCCCAAGGTGGAGAACCGGTGCCCGTCCCAGGAGCCAGCTTGGAGAGGAAGCACCGGTTGGAGAAGGCCACGATGGCCAGCCCTCCTCGCGGGGGCGGATAAACCCTGAAATGACACCGGACACCTCTTAAAACATGTGCCATGAGCTCTGGAGGATTATCTGTCCAACATCTTAGGGAAAAAACATTGTAATAGTATATCGATTCATTTAAAGAAGGAAGTGCTGAAATACCAGCTCTTCAGAACTTGCATCAGGAGTTCCCTCATCAGTAAGTCGTGTCCCCCCAAAGTCGCATGACCGTCAAATCCTTCAATCAATACACCCTGGAAAAGTCACATGGAACCTGAAAACACCACCAAACGGTTTGTAGAGGAACATCGTCGTCCTCCACCCAGGTCCATCAGCGATTCCATGTGGGTCTCCAGCACCGGGTGTAAGTGTCTTAGGACATGGAAAAAAACGACCCATTTTCTTAGCGCGATCTCTCCAGGCCATCCTGCCCTGCCGCCCTTCAGGCAGCTTTTGAGACAGTGTGAAACACGGCGACACCTGGAGGTGTGAAACACGGCGACACCTGGAGGCCCGAACAGGCCAGTCACGCTTTTCAGTCATTCTGGCATGCCAAAATCGTGATGGTGAGGAAATCTTCAGAAGTCTCGCCAGAGCTTCTGTTGGCATATCTGATCTTCACTTTGTCATGTGGAATGTCGGGATGTTGCTCCAAGAGCTTATTCATCTTTTTGACGTGCCAGCAGCTTTTGACGCCCAGATAGATGCCAGCGGTCAAGGGGGTGAGGATCCACGTATCCGGACCCCAGAAAGCACGCTGGTGCTTGGTCTGCTCCGCGATGACGCGGCGGTAGGCTTCAGGAGACATGATTCCTTCAAGCTGGCTTGGGAAGTCGTCCGAGAAATGCTGCTTGCAGCAACAACCCTGAGCCGCCACGTCAATGGTCTGTGGAGTCGATCCTGGGACATCTGCAGCCATGGGGAGTGGTGAGTAAGGCAGAAAAGGAAAGCCGCCTGGCGTTCAAAACAAATTTGGGCCAATGCCAGCTGCAGCACAGGCAGAGTCATCATAGTCTTCCTGGCAAGGACAATCAAGGAACCATGTAACATAAAACATCGTCCAGGACCTTCCAGGTGGCTTTTGGACACCCCAACCAACCGTCCTGAACCTCTTGGTGAGGCTATGGAAAATAGACACCTCTTGGTGTCGGTCAAAAAGGGTGTTTGGCTTGGGGAGACGAGAAGAACCAAACCGAAAAGCATAGTAACCGAAGGTCGAATTCCGAGAGTTGTAGGTACAAAGTCTTGCTGATGAACGGGTGTCCATATATGAAACATCATCCCGGATCCCAAATATGCATGACATGTGCATGGGAGTGCATTAAAGTAGGGACCCATGTGTATCTCTCTTCACCCAAGCGCGCTCCGCCGCTCCGCCCGCCATGAGTTTCATTCCCCAGCCGTTTCACAGCCCGAGATCGGCGGTGGCGGTGGCTCCCTCGGCCTGGTCGAAGCACTCGTCCAACCTCCTGAAAGACCTGCAACGGCTTCGTCAGATAGTCCACCGAGACCACGTTGGTGACCACATCGAACCTCGATCGACGCCAGGTCGGTCCGGGCTGGTGTTCCGGACATCAGAAGCATCACCCTCCGAAACGCCCAAGGGAGCAGTTTTAAGCGGCACAGAAACATGGCCCCGCGTCTCCGGGCAAAAGAATCCACAGAACCATGGAGCTTTCCACCGTCCTTCCTTTCCGTGAAGCGTCGTTCTTCCCAGTCCCATGGTGTGGCCATGTTTTCCCCCTTTCTTCCACGTGCCCTTGTTACTATCTAGTAGCTTCTTCTTCTTCCTAGTAGTGGCCTCCCTTAGTAGCGATGGCCACCGAGCAGAGCGCGCCCCACCCGGACCAGTCGAGAACAGATCCTTGCGGCCGGCCATTTCGGCCAGGGGTGCTGAGGTTCCAGTGTTTCTTTTTGTTGGGAGGTACCAAACAGAAAGAGATACCAGCTGCTTCCAAGGGGGTCACCTGGCTGGATATCTCCACACGACTTACAGGTCTCCATTGGGCACCCCTTGGAAGCGCTAGGTATCATACAAAAATAGAATAAGAACACTCTGGCTAATGTTCCGTCAGTCCAAGTTCTCCCGAAATTATGAGGCCCGATACAAAATCCACAACGGACTTGACAGGTCTTGGAGTGCTCCAACATGAGGACTCCAGGATTTAGCGGAACAGACCCCACCCAAGGAGGCCAGTAAAGATCTTCATGCTCTGCTCTGGGCATCTGTTCCACGATGGTAGGAGGCCTCTGGCCCGGCCGAGGTGCTCTGCATCTTTGTAAGGCAGCCGGGGGTCCAGGTTCAAATCCTGGACCGTCCAATCAGAGGCCGAGACGTTGCTTTTCCTCAGACAGTGGTGACGTCCTGGGGTCACAGGACTTCGGGCCCAACGCGCGGGTTCCGGATCACTACCTGGTGTTGAACATCTAAAACACGTGTTCAAACCCATCCGGGTGTTCGGGGCGAAAAAGAAGGATGGATGCTCACGCTTCCATGTGGCTCAAGACGTCCCCCGAGGATCGCTTTCTTGGTTTTTCTCGGCCAGATCAGGTCGACCGGACCAGCTCGGCTTGACCCACTGTTCTCGGCCCAGCATCAACTCCTCTGCATTCATTCCGGTGATCGCCAGCCTGGGACCAAGGGTCCAAACGCTCCAAGCAATCCGGAAGAATCCCCCGTCTTTCCGCAGGGGAAGGGCGATGTCGCATCCACATCCCTTCGATCGATTTGATCCACATCAACATCCCTGAACGACCGCAGGGTCCGATCCATCGGTAGCAAGACCTGGAGGCAAAGGGGATTCTCATGACGATAAAGTCAGACAAATGGTCCTGCATCATGTGGATCGACTGTAACGGATACACTTGGACTGTTTTCGAGTCACACGGTGATCAACCAAATGTTTGTCAATGAGACACGGATGCTGCATCCTTTTTTGCTGGTCACAAGCACTGTCGTGTCTCAGATGCGTCTCATTGTGAGCCCTGGTACACAAGTTTTGCAGAAGGGCAAATGTGTTCATGAAGACCAGTGTGCCCCTACAAGTATATGTGTATATAATATCCAGGACGAAATACCCCAAAACAATCACGAGGGAAGAAAACGAAAGAAGAAGCATACCTTCTCCTGAATGTCAGAAGAAACCACCACACCCACCCACGCCGTCGTCACCGTGTCACCGCCAGCACCCTACAATTCACCTGGTCGGCTTCGGCTGCTGTGGATAGTGAGAGATCCAAGAGGAGCAAATGTCCAGCGCTGTGAAGGGTCTATCAGGGAAGACCACCGAGTAGAAGTCCGTCAAGGCCTTCAAGGTATTCTCGTCCAAGTGCTTCACAAATCTGACGGCACAGTGCGAAAGAACAAGGCAGTGCCGAATGGGCAGCACGAACACAGAAACCGGATGGCCGGTTCTTTGGATGGACTTCTTTGATTGGTGGTCTGCTCGGGAACTGGGGGTAACACGTGCCCTCAAAGCCAGGCCCTTCTTGTGTCTAAAAGGCAAAGCGAACAGCCGTTCGTTTCAGATGTGCAATTTTTTCCTGGGAGAACACGACAAGAAACACACAGTAGGAGAAGCAGGAGAAGCGTCAACGAGATGATCTTGCTGTTGTTGGTGCTCTTAGGATCTCACCGGCACCCCCCGGCCTCTCGGTGTCACGTGACCCACTCCCACAGCCACTGCACTGGGACATGGCAGGGGTCCGCGGGTTCCGTGACTCCACTGCCATCCCAGACGTCCGTGTGACGTCCAGGTGCCTTCAGCATTGCGTGACTCTGTGATCGCCCACCCTGGAACCTGGTTCAATCAATCTACCTTTCAGTAAGGGTCAAAAAGCCTTCGTCTCGTCTCAACCCCTGAACAAGTATGACTCCTCTCCCATGACCACTGAGTATGTCCGAACCGACCTTTCATTGACGCCGACGGGCGCGTGTACGCGCCCGCCTCGGCTCGGCGTAGAACTCCGCATCATCGGAGCGGTCCAAGCGGAAGAAGTCCCGCTCGGTGTACCTCGTCATCGGTGTACTTGCTTGGCACCGGTTGTCTGGTGTGCGGAGTGTGTGGAGTGTGGAGTGTGGAGTAGATCTGAACGCACCCCGTTGAGCAAGTATTTCAACTGCTGAGACCTGTTTAGGACTGTGAGAAGAGACGTCAGACGGGACCTTGGTCACACGATCCATCTCCACCTAGGCACCACTGCACCTTCCTCAAGTCCAAACCTACAGTAGTTTCAACCTCTGATTTTTCGATTGACACCTGTCCGCCTGTTTGCTCACGTCCACTCCACGTCCACTACTCAGACGAAAAGTAAAAACATGTAAAAACTGAGGCTCTGACGGCCATCGTGCAGGATAGGAGAACTTCTCCAAGGAGTGAGCCATCAGACTCTCCGGGTTCGCTTTGGGAACTTCCACTTCGCGCTCATCCACGCTGTGGATCTTCACCTCGCGGATTTCGTCAGCGGTCGGAGATATCGGTGTAGGCGGTCCGGGTCGGAGAAACGGAAGCGAACAAAACTGGCTCGCTGCTCCCAAGAGCGGGGCAAGCACATTGGACGCACCTAGATCTTTGGCGCAAGAAAAAATTACGCTAGCATGGACCCCAGATAGCACAAGATACTTGCGTGCAGCATGACACACCGCGCACTGCCGTAAACAATTGGCAGCAGCACCCTGCACCGGGCCTGCAGCAAAAAAACCGACACGCAGGCTCCAAAGCTCAGGCTGCCATAGACATCTGGCAGCAACCCCGCAAGGGCACCTTGCATTACCACCAGCACCCAAGCTCCAAAGCCCACAGGGCACAAACATTTGGCCGGCACCTTGCAGCGGCACCCAGGTCACAGGGACATCTGGCAGCAACACCCTGCACCGGCCCCCTGCAGCAGCACCAGCACCCGAGCTCCAAAGCACACACGGACCATGCACATCTGGCAGCCACGCCAACACACAGGCACCAGGAACCCCAACAGTTCTTGCAACCTTGGGGTAAAATGCATTCAATATGTCAATATGTCTTGTCTGTCTTATCCTCTATGAGCCTATGACGCAGGAATACGCAGGATGACCTGTTTGAAGCTGACCGTCTCCAAACTGCTATGTTTATGCACCCTGCAGCGGAAGGTGCAGCAGCAGCAGCACGCAAGCTCCAAAGCACACACGGCCACACGTCTGGCAGTGGCACCAAGACCCTGCAGCAGCACCAGCACCCAGGTTCCAAAGCGCACACAGGCACCTCTTCCTACACTTGAAGTAAGAACCCCAACTGGGAACAATATCTTAGAGAAGTTGGTTCACATGCTTGCTCAAGCTTCGCCTGAGGGTAGAGATCTCTGGCAATGACAGTGATTCTGCACAATTGGACTATTGGTGCTTAAACCTCCTCCAACACAAATTCTGTCTACTGCTTCATCTCGGCCAAATGAACGCATCCCAACGCTCAACCCTTGCCGCCAATCTGCGACTTTCTTGGCCCTGCAACTTTTGGAGCTCAAGCCCAACACCGCAGCCGTCGCGGCCGCCCAACTCCGCCGGTGCAGCCGCGGTCGGCGACCATCGCGGGGCACTCTTCGCTCGGCCGGGCGTCCGCTGGGGCGGCGAGGCGGTGGGGCCGTCTGGGCAGCGGCCAGGCTCAGCATGGCGTGGCGCGGTGGGCGTGGAGGGCCGGTGGTTCGGCGGCTTTCGGGGAAGTGGCTGTGACATCGGGTTTTCGATGAAGCAAGAGAGATGGAGATCAGAGATCCAAAATGATGGTCTGATGGCTTTACCCGAAGGTGTGCTCGCGCCGCAGGGTAGTTTACTGTCACTTCAACATTCCCAGACCTATACCCAGGTGAACTCTCTTCTGGCGAGCACGCGTAAGTACACAAAGAAGGCCGAATTCATTGAGATCCCCACTACAGCTGCTTTATCTCCAGCAACGACCTTCGAGTCAAGTCCAAGTGGTCTTGAAACATGACTTTTGCATTCAGATACTTGCCAAGACTACAAGGGCTGATTTCCATGAATTTTGATGATGACGTGGCACAACTTTGGTGCCTTGAGCGATCTGAGAGTCGTCAATTGTGCACTGTCACCGCCGGCCGCTCTCCTTCCTAAAAGCTCCAAAACGCGTCTGCAAGCACTGCAAGCCATACGTTAGGTCACTGCAAGCCTTCCATCTGCAGAAACATGGTTCACGATACAAGGGAATCATCTCCGGCATATTCATGTCCTCTTAGACATTTGCCCATGCTCGCAGCATCCACCAACATCACTGTGTTGCATTCAAAACACCTACGACTCGACATGCTAAACCTGTCAGGCGGGCACAGCCAGGGCTAAGGAGACCAGCGCAGCATACACCAAGTAGAAACTCCGCAGCGCCTGGGCACTGCAGAGAGGCCTGTTTGGCCCACCAAGGTTTCAGACCGTCTTGAGCTGTTGGCGAAAAAGATTGTGGCAACACCAGTCGTGCGATGTTGCTGCGAATTCTTGTTGGGAGTAAGAGTTGAGGCTATCGGCTCTCTCAACGAGGCACGTGCCCTGATGAAGTAAAGAAGTTTCTCTCTCGGATCAGCTTCTCGACTGTTCTGGAAATCCCGCAGAATCGAAGGTCACCGATGCTTGCGGAGCGGAAATCACCGATTCTCGCGGAGCGGTGTCAACTCGTCAACTCTGTTACTTGGTGCCAAGGTCAAAAGCCCAGAACACCGTCTCAGTGATATCTCAAGGTCAATCACAGGTCGGGGTGATATTCAACGGAGACTCTACAATGAAATCATCACAGCAAAAAGAATCTCCGTTTTGCACTTCCTTCCTCACCGGTGTTTCTCCCCTCTCCATTCGCCGCCCCTATCATCTCAGCTTTCCAGCTGGATAGCATCGAAAACCCAAGGCCTCGCCACGTCGCTCGCTGCGATAGCACGTCTCCGTGTCGGGTCGATTGGAGGGCCAACTCCGAAAAAAGGGTCGGAGGGCCAACTCCCGTGTCTCCGACCGTTTCGGCGACCGCTTCGGTGAGATCTTTATTCGGATCCGATCCTCCCGAACGCTAGGAGCAAGGACGCTAGTAGTAACAAGCGCCACGCTAGTAGTAACAGGTGCCTTAGTAGTAACAAGAAGCTACTAGGGATGAGAGTTTGCGATCCGAGAGTTTGGGAAGCTTCCCTTTCGGACGACTGACCGGGGGCTGGTCGTACAACCGTACGGCTGAAGCCGGTGGACGCACTCGGCTAGATCCAGTTCGATTCGCGAAAAGGATGACAAGCTTCGGGGGTTGAGAGCTTGGTACGAAGCCAGCATGAATTGTCTATATTACTCTATATTTTTGGCAGCGGAATCAGAGCAGAAAGGGACAGGAAGATCTCGATCTTCCCCAAACAAGCAGTGGTCTGTTGATGTTCGGATAGATCACCTAGACGCATGAAGGTCAATGCTTGCCACCGTTTGGGCCACCGGGCTATACCAGCGAAGTACCTGGAATGAGAATCACTCAGAAGTTCCAAAACAAAAGAAACAATCACTACAATTATAAGTTCGTTATTTTTCAAGTTGCCGAGGGCGTGGCACGGGACGGGAGGAATTCACCCAGGCCGCGGCGGAGGGTGGTCTGGGAGCTCTGGACCAGCCAGAGTCCGATCGTGTCAGCGGAACACATGAGCTGCTTGATTCAACCAAACCATTCCTGACATGAACACACAACTAAAAAATAACGCCCACCGTTCATGTGAGAATCAAATGATGCCTTCCACGCGTTGGTTGGCATGGAGTGCACCCGTTTGATTCTTGCGTTGCTTTTTCTATGGAAGAAAACCTTCCCCCATGTACATCCTGCTAATCCATCTTTGTTGGGGAGTCACCAATTCATTCCACCATGTGGCGCGGTCTTTTGGACCCTCGCAGTCCACACTGGAACCCAAACACGGTGAAAAACATCTCGTGCAACATGTCCCAAGGCCGGCGCACGAGGCAGCGATCAAGACCACGATACCCGTCAAATCCATCCGATACCTCGCAATCTCACGAAACATGGCCTGTAGTGACCTGCAGGGTGGATGGAAGTTTTGAACCACGGGCCCTCAATGAAACTCAGTGAAGCCTCTCATGCCATGACCAGGTGGGTGACTACAAAAACACACCTCATGCCTCATGTGACGACCGTTGTGCTCGACCACTATTCATGTGGCACTAAACTAACTATATACATCAACTGGCACGTGACACGGGAAATGTGTCCGGCTTTGTATGAGAGAGAGAGAGAGACACAGACAGAGAGAGACAGACAGAGACAGACAGAGACAGACAGAGACAGACACAGACAGACAGAGACAGACAGAGACAGACAGAGACAGAGACAGAGACAGAGACAGACAGAGACAGAGACAGACAGAGACAGAGA